CCCCAAAACCCCAAAACCCCAAAACCCCTCTTAGCTAAATTTAGATTAATTCAAAGAAAATTAGATCTTATATTAATGTTAAATAGCACTTCTCTTTGTTTAAAAATTAATACAGGAATTTATATATTAAACATTTTAAATGAACAACGAGAGACTTTCAACATATCACTCATTATCCGAGAGAAGTGCATTACTAATTCAGACTGAGTCCAAATACTTGGGACCTCTGAATATCGTTGCAGGGATGTGCATTCAACTTGTAGAAATTCACGTTTATTCATACAGCTTTATAGATGTTTGGATTCATACCAATTTGGGGAAACATAATCATTTATCTCACCTCATACTTAAGATAATTCGATGAAAGTATAACTCTATCAAGCCTGTTTATTATGTACCCTTTGAATATATTCGTTGGTGCTGTGTATATGCAAATTGGCTCTTATCTTACATAATAAATTCATCCCAAAACTCAAATTATGATTGGAGGACTTTGCTTTGCTCTGCCATTATTCTTAATGTCCTACACAACCAGCTATTACTTATTCTTTGCTCTGTATGTTATCGTTAATGCAGCAGGTCTTGGTCTGTGCTACATGCTACCAGTAAAGAATGCCTGGCTCTTTTATCCCAAAAAGAAAGGAATGGTATCTGGTATCATCCTGAGTTGCTACAGCTTTGGGGCTATATTTTGGTCGTTTTTAACAACATACATAGTAAATCCTGAAAATAGGGTTCCTAGCTTAGTTATCAACAATGGATTGACAAGAGAAATTTTATTCTCTCCTTAATCAGAAGTTGTTTAGAGAGTGCCTATGATGCTTAGGTACTTGTCCTATATCTATCTTATACTTGTTCTTATTGCAGTAGTTTTCATCAGCAAAAAGGAAGATATTAAAGGAGGTTCAATAAGAGAGCCTTTGATATACAATAGTCTCGACATTACCTAGTCAGTCTTGAATACAACCAATGGGATAAATAGAAATGATAGGACTTTGGCATTTTATTAGGATGGGGCAGCTCCTCCCCTAAGAACTTAAAGTATCTCAGAGAGTTTAAAGCAAAGAACATTCTGGCATATCTTTGCGATGCTTTTGATGAGTATTAGTTTCAGTTATTTTATGAAGCCCTCTTTGAAAAGCTATGGATCTTTAAAGTTTAATGATGACAGCTATCTAACTATTATTGGTGCTATTGGATATTTATTCTCAGCTTTAGGGAGATTTGGATGGGGAACTGCCACCGATCACTTTGGATTCTTTAAGGTATACGCAACAGTGCTTTTTACTCAATTCATTGTGTGCATATCCCTAGATCAAATATCAGAATACAGTACAGCATACATGATGTGGATTGTTTTAACTTTTCTTTGTGAAGGAGCTCACTTCGTTATATTTCCAGCTCTAGCATCTGATATCTATGGCTCCACGTAATCCTTATCTTTCATTTAATTTTTCTTTAGTCTTGGTTCAAAAATTTACTCAATACTTTTCTTTGCTAATGCAGGTGGAGCATGCTTAGGAATAGTAGCGATTTCTTAGATACTACCATATTTAGGCTACGATGGAGCGTTCATCTTCTATGGTGTTTTAACTATTTTTAGTGGTGTTCTATTAGTTATTTTTAATCAAAAATAGGGGCAAAAAAAACCAAACTCAAAGTATCTTCCAAAGTTCAATTGAAATTGTTAAACTTTACTTATTTTTTTATTTAATTAAAACTAATACTTCATCAGGATTTTTAGGAAAATAGCTTATTTTTAATAAAGAGTTAAATGCTTTTAAATCATTAATTAATATGGAAAATAGCTCTCAATAAACAGTGCAAGTACAAGCAACAAAGAAGAAAGTGTTCTATATTGTAGAGCATTTCGAGTCAGAGGTATCTAATTGGACCACTAGTGAATATGTTCATATGATACTTATTCTACATGACTTGTATAATGACTCTAAGATTGACAAGAACAGATTAATAATCACAAATTATCCTTTCATTTAGCAATTAGCTGAAGATAAACTTGAGGAAGATGAGTATAATACCAAGAAAAATACGATTAGGTTTTAAAAGATCAATAATAATCTTCAGAAAAAGTGTCTATTTTCACAATACAGTCTACTAGAGCTTTCAAGTTTAGAGAAGATTTAAGTGATCAAGGCAAGAGAAGACTTAAAGGACGACACTCTAAAGATCTTAAGAATTCTTGATAAGAGAATGGTTGGACAGGGCAGTCAACATAATATATGCTTTATGGATATGAGAGGAGAGAAACAACTTCAGCCAGAGGACTCTGAGTAATTTCAATTTGTTATATTTGGTGGCATTCTTGGTGATCATCCACCAAGAGATAGAGCTCTTGACTTTAGATCTAATTTCTCTAATGTAAGATCGCTTGGTCCTATCTAAATGACTACTGACACTGCCTTGCTTGTAAGTAGGGAAATCCTCGAAGAGGGCAAATCAATCGAGAAAGATTTAAAGTTTATTGATGACCCTTCCATACCTACTGATAACAATGTGAGAAGATATTTAGACATGAGATTGCCATTATTAAACCTTGTAGATGATACTTACAAACTCAATGGATAGGTAAATGCCATAAAATAATTCAGAGAAGAAGCTTTTAAATCAGGAGACATTGAATAGTTTATTAAGGTTTAGGAGGCTTTTGCTGACCCTGAGGATGAAGATGCTGATAGAGAGGAACTGACAATGATGGAGGGCTTTAAATACAGAGTAAATGATTCAGTATTCCCTGTATATAGAGGAAAAAATAATCTGAAAGAAGAGTTTCCTATAATACCGATTGGAATGCTTGATATTTGGAGAAGTGAAAATGAGGAGGAGTTTAACTTTTGATTTCTTATTAATTAATAATTTATTAAATACTAGTAACTCTCAATGCATTTATACGATTCATTGTTATGGGGTTTTGGGGTTTTGGGGTTTTGGGG